GCCTACTTTGAGTCTCACTGGTAGTTTAAAGCTTTTTAATGTTCTCACTTCTATTATCGACAAGTATAACAAAAATGCATAAGAAATAAAATTGAATACAAGATATAGTCAAATAATTTTAACAAAATCGATATAGCTGAGACACGAACCATTCTAAATTTCTTTAGCCGAGATTTCAACCAAAATATTTCAAATATGTGCTAAATTAGACAAAAATTGCTCAAATCTCGGCCAAACCGAGAAGTTATTTGTATAAATAATTTTGTTCAATTTTTTACATGTTTAAACATTTTACTATTTATACAAATAATTTTACATATTTGACTTCATATTCATAATCAACAAACCAAAAACGCCTATATCTTGTATTCAATTTTATTTCTTATGCATTTGTGTTGCACTTGTTGATGATAGAAGTGAGAACATCAAAAAACTACAAACTGCCCGTGAAACTCAAGGTGGGCCAAAGTGAAAAAATATGACCTAAATATTTTTTGTACTTCTATATTTGTGCCAAATTAGAAAAAAATCGGAATATAACTTTTGGGTAGGTTTACTTGTCGGTATAATGAGTACTATCTACCCTAAGTTTGGAATATTATTTTTAACATTCTGTATATGTTATTCTGTCTTATAGTGAATAATGACGATTATTTTTGACAAGCACCAGATAAAATTAAGACGCTCAAGCGGGATCTCCCGGTCGTATCTGCAACATTTCGCGCCTGGACTCGCGCGCGATACGTCTTCATTCGCCGATCATTGATCGTGGCAGAATGAGGTCTCGGGAGCGCGAATCTTCGACGCGCGCGGAAGTGCAGCAACGGCCGTGGGAATCACCGAACGGCGATCTATGCGGGTGCTCGCGCGCCCAGTGGCCGCATCGCGCTGCGTAACGCGCATAATCGCCACGCGGCATCTGCACTCCACGGGAATACCGTGGATTCGTCTACTTTCCGCGATTCAATCGTTCAAGAAGATCTCGCCGCTTCCTTCTCCCTCCGCGACCGGTGGCCCAGAGCAGCCAGGGTCTGCCTTTCAATAAACACCGGCGGTTACTCGTCGGAGGCTGGCGATTCATGGGAATCATGCCTCGCGCGGTAATTTCACGTTATCGCTAATGCGACGGTGCACCGTGGTTAGCGTGCTATCGCTAGGTTCGTCCCTTTCCAGATTCTTAAATACCGCTACCGAACCTGTTCTCTTATCATCGCGCGAGCGCGCTCGCGGGGCATACGCTTATGATTCTATCGACTAAACGGGAAACCGCCGTATCCCAGTGCGGCGGCGGTCTATCTCGATCGGAAATTTGGTTTGATTGCATTCTTTCGGGGAGTTGTTAAGAATTTGTATGTCCCTCGATAGTGGTAAATCGCTCCTTTTAATCGACACGAAAGGGTTATTCGGAAAATTGATGTGATGGAGTCTTCTACGATACGTGGCGATCTTGTCTTCATTGCTCTCTTCCGCTCACACGAAATTGTCTCTACATGTTATGGCGTAAAGAATTGTTCTATAAAACCTGACCTACAATTTGCTCTTCGCTTCCTGTTTTTTATTCTTTATCTTTTTCTAACACACTAAAGTTTGAAGATTTAAATAAGAAAGAGATAAAGAGAAAGAAACAGGAAGCAAAGAACACATTGTAAGTCAAGCTTTATAGTGAGTAGAAGCAGAAGACATAACTCGGTGCAACGGTATACAGCACAATATTGAGGCCAGATGGCATATTTTTCGGAATGTCGAAATTACAACTTCTCAAACAACTAATCGTCGTAATGATTGCATTCAGAGAAAAAGACATGATTGTGGTAACTATAATAGTTCTGTATGTAGAATTAATATATATAGTTTAATTCTACATATATCTTTAATAGCACAGTTTATTGAGGCAATATTGGCTACAACTGGGTCCCAATATATTTAATATTGGCCCAGCATTGCAAAGTAGACATCTTGCATTTTATAGTCATTTTATAGTCAATATAGAATTCCGAATATGCTGCTCGTAAATTAGGTTTTTCTACTCTTCTTCTAAAGGGAACTTTCTGTGATTTCGTTTCCACTATTTCTCTCACGATAAATATATAAACAAGGCACATGGCCGACATACTCCTTAAGCCAACTAAATCTAGTCTCCTTTAACCTCGCTGTCTTTTACAATAAGTTTTTTTAAAAATATAGACTACTACGCATTTCGCTGAAAAGAGGAAAGATCATATTTCTTCTGAACATGAAAAATAAGAAATAATTTAAAATTTAGATTTTTAATGCGACACAACAGATAGTTGACAGGAGCAACTGTGTGGACGGTGGAGAAAATAAGACAGCTAATGTGAAAATAACGCAGCGGGAGAAACGCAATCTGTCGAGCCGCATGAATTAATCCCTCGCGTGGATCTATTATTAATTCACGAACTCCCTCATAAAGATTCGGGTTCGGGAACTTACCGCGACTCGCCCGGTGAATTATGCAGTCGGTGCCACCGGCGCCGATATTTAAAGACGGCAATCGCGGACAGATTTACGCATAATTCCAGCGTGTAATTCCGCGCTTTTAACGAGGTAGCAGTCCGGCCGTGCGTCACTCTTAATCCGCCGTGTCCGCGTAATACCGTCTAATCGTGATCTCATGCAGTGATCCAGTTGGCCGATCGAAACGACGCTAATGTACCCTCTAATAAGCATTTTTAATGAGGCCCGCCTGTCGAGCGCGAGCAGCTTTTCGCGGTTCTCCTAAAATATCGCGCGCGCGCCCCGATATTATCGCGATCGCTAATTAACGGACAAGCAGTAAAACGCGCGCTCTGAAGCGATATACACCTCGCTAATGCCAGATGAAGCAGATATATTCGCCTTTCCAGGAAAGTAAGACCACGTCGAAACTAGGTTACTGGTAGAAATTGCAATTGCGCGCTGAGCAGTAATATATTATTATACACACAGAAAAATATTATTCCACCCACTAAGTGACTATTCACTTTACTGTTCTTCTTTTAAATAATGATTATCCCCGAAGGAATACTTCCGCAATAACAAACTCAAAGTATACTCATCGCAAATTTTGGAACATTATCATTCTTGAGAGAAGAATTTATTTTCTTTGCGAGAATATCGTAAAACTTGATCGAAGAAACAGTTGACTCGACTCTGTGCAGTAAGCACAAATCGAGTCCATTTTTTAATTTAAGATTCTTGATCAAAATGCTAAACTTACTAGGATTATAGAATGTATTCTGAATAAAGATGCATATGATGAACTTGTGACAGACTTGTGGATACACAAACTTATGAGATACTTGAATACAGTATGCACTTTTTGCGTGTAGGGGACTCTGTTAATCGCTGGTAATACTCTACACTTTTCAATAAAAATTTCAGATTAACTTGCTTACAGATTAAGATTATGTTTATACTAAAAGTAAGAATAAGTCGCAATATCGCTTTCAAAACTATTATATTATAGCAAAAACAGATCAAAATATGCAGAAAAAATGTTGTTGTATCAACAGTATTAATTTTAATTGGAATGAGTTTTTTTGATTCAACAGTAATCTGGGACACCTTGTATATATATAATTTGAGAAATGATTTCGAAAATTACTCTCATGAAGTATATCAATGTAATCTTTCCTATGTTGAATCTGTAATGTGAACTTATCGCTGGAGGGGTTTAGAAGTGCCGTAACTTCCCGCTTTTATAATCTCTTTTTTAATTTCCTATCGGAGCACCGCCCCGGGTGACAAATGAATCGCGTCATTGCATCATCGGCGATACGACGAAATTGGCGGAACCTTTCGCGGGCGGCGGAATACGCAATTTCCGCTTCAGGAGATAATATCAGCCCTTCCGAACCGCGTGACCGATGCATTGGCTCACGAACGATCAATGGATCGAGATCTGTTATTTGGAAAATTACTCGCGCGCGGCCTGGCCCAGGATCCGGTCTGTATCTTACAATGACGGCGTATTGTTACGGCGCGTGGAGTACGGAAGCCTTCCAGCGACTGCACGGAGCTTTCCGTCACAATACAGTGCGCAATACACGCTTGCGTTTGATTCTTGCACCGATCTCGATTAACGGATAAATATCTCGTTAATGGTGTGCCTCGCAAATACCAACGGGGTATGGTGCAACTGTAGTAATAGAGAATAATTGCTTGATATTCACGTAACGGTATTTCAAATATTCACGCGTGCCATATCGTTGTGAGACTGTGAACTTTCAAGATTTTGCAGATCGTGAGATTTAATATGTAATATAAGTGAGATCTGATGCGAGAGAAGTTCTCAAGATATCGAGTATATTAGAAATAATTCGATAACAAGCTGTAATTCTCTCTAGTCAAGCATATTAAGCGATTTTATTCCATCTTCAATAAAATTATCGAAAAATAAATATTTTCTGAAATACTTTTCATTTTATTCTAGTACTTTTTAGTTCAAAATATGAAATATCTCTCAAATCACACATTCCCTTCTCAACAACGTGACTCAAACACTTTCACATGTAGAATGATGAGAAAAATCCATCGATAACATTTAATCATTAATTAATTTACACTGGTGCATCAATGAATGTGCAAAAGCAACGGAATCTTGTTTCAGGTTTCTCTATGTTTCTTCTTTATAATAATCGATTTTACCACCATCATTACTTTATTCCTGTAACTCCTTTGAATTATATTTAAAAATATATTTATTATTATTATAGATTTTTATTAGAGTTTTCACAAAATATAAATAAATAATAATAAGTAATAATAAGGAATAAAAACGGCTCTTAGATGTCAAATTAAGACGTCTAAAACACTTGTGACAGGTGAGTGTTACAAGCTGCAAAAATACGATAAGTAAATGACATTAAAGACCAACAAAATTTGTTTATAGCGTGTCTATGTCGTTCATAATTATTCGCAATCGAGATAATTTATCTCACAAGAACGACATTTCTCCCGACTTGTCTCACCATGATTGATGAAAGTCGTGGTTTCCACCGTCAAGGGATATACGATTTAGAGAACAAAGGTACCGTGGTGGTCTCTGCGTGACCACCCACGACAGGCGTGTAGACTTTTTTGGGTTCCTGACCAATGGCCTCAGCGTAGAAACGCTGTACTCTCATCTGATCGATCTGACAGTTGCCGAAGAGCCTTTCAGGCCGATAAACCCCGCATTTCTTTGAGATTCCCGCCACGTCTGGCACCAACAAGCGCAAAGGATTCGTTACTATGGCTATCAGAGCATCGGGACACATGTCTGCGCAGATGTTAATCACGTCTCTGCAGATTGCGGCATTACCTTGCGGCATTGCCTTGCGGCATTACCTTGCGACATATGTGTATTTGAACAAAGTCTTCATGGGAAGTCACGTTGTCTTAAATGACCTAGTATTTCCTAGAAAGTTCTAAGTTATCTCTGCAGGGAGAACCATCACTGTATCTCATAAAGAAAATATTGTATCGTAAAAAAATAATTTGAAATACCGTAAAAAGACTTGTAAAAGGATATAATTTTATATAATATCGACAAATCAGAACTGTTTTTATTGCAGCTGTAATTCAACGATAACTCATTTCCTGTCTCTTCCAGTTCTTTCTAAGAAGTGTCGATTAATCTCCATTATCCGTATTACATCTCCGTTTGAATTATTAATATTTGCGTGGTTTGATTTGAATTATTAATATTTGCACAACTATATTGTGTGTATGTGCGTGTAATGATGTATAAAGATTATTATATAATACAAATCTCGCAAGATCCATAATGTCGCGGTATTCATAACAATAATGAATCTATAATTCGAAATATCTAAAATCACCACGAACAAATGTCTCCTATGCATGTTGGGCTTCTTAGAGACTCCAATAGTCACCACAATTGTATCGACACTTTTTAGATCCCACGGCAGTCTATCAATATACTTAAACTCTCGAATTGACAATTTTGTCGATATATTCAACTCTTCAGTAATTCCCTCGAGATTGTTCCGATTAGTCGAAAGTCGTAGTTTCATGAGGCCGCTCAGATACATCTTCAGCAAGTATGCTAAAGACTTGCCGACTTTGCCGATGCCGACGATAGCGACGCGACATCTTCTGATATACTTCAGCTCGTCACGCTTTCTGATATAATAACTCTTCATACGCGCGAGTCGATTAAACGTCATCCAACTTCCGGTCTTCGTGAAGAATTTACGGAACAGTTTGATAGAATTGTACATTCCGCGATGGGAAGAGGAATCGATTGATGGGAGAATTATATCAGTGTTTCTACTGTAAATTGTTGAATGTCATTTATATACCCAAATATATACGAGAGAATATCTATTCTTTCAAAAAGAGAATCATTTATTATTAATAAAAATGGTAAATAAAGGTAAATTGTGTTGCAAAAGATTTTCAAAGAATAAGAATAAATAATATTGAAAAGGAAACTGAGGTTAACGCACATGGATTAATAGAATTACCATGTTCTCTTCTCGAGTAAGACAGGTTATCAACGACTGCAAAAGCAGACGATTGCTTTAGCCACGATAGAAGTCATTATCAGGCGAGTTCATGATTTTGCTGTAGACGATAACAGAAATTTGAAAATTAATAAGAACATTATTAATTCATTATAAACTTGTACGAAATATATTATAATGTTCCTATATTCATGATCGATAACGGATCGATCACTATACTTTCCGGATCGAGGACGATTTGACTTTTTCTCAGATTTACATTTAATTTGGAGCTTCAACTTCAAGATGCTTCATGTGTCACGTAGTAAATGCGTAACTGTACTATATTCGTCGCGTATAAAATATAAAAGCACATTTAACATTTTTTCACTAACAAAATATCTGCAGGAAAATGGGCAACTGTATAAAGCCCGCTGATTCTCCGTTCACTGACATTCCAAGCGACAAAGTCGATATCACACCAGTTAAAGAATCAGGATTACCGATTATCTTTCTAATTGGAGGCCCAGGGTCGGGAAAAAGTTCGTTGAACCTTCATTTACAATTACTTTTTCACGCGAATATGAACTAAAATTACGAATTAATCAAATTAACCTACTTTACCATCAGTAACCTAAATTCAGATAACGATATAACATTATGGCATGTATAATTGTTAATATGAATCCAGCGATATTAAGTACAAAATTATCCCTCGAATTTGCATATTTATCTTGCATTTTATTGTCATTTAGTTTTATGTAAGTAAAAAGTTAAAACTATAATGACGACAATTAAAGGATTACGTCACTGAAACGCTGAAAGAAACATCAGAAATCAGTAGTTTTTCTCAACGTAACTTATGAACAATCTTGTTTATTTACGATGTTTAGCACACACGCACATGATTTAATAAAAATGTTGTGAAAATGATTTTAAAAGATATTAAAATATAACCGACTTGTACGTAAGATATCCCGCGAAGTTACTTTACTGAAACGTACACTGATGACATATACGATATCTCAAAAATTCAGTGCATATACTTTTACGTACAAAATATTTCTAAGAATTGATTCGTGTTAAGAAAACTATATGATTCCATTAAAAAATTCAAACTAATCTTAAAAAATGCTTAGTACGTCCACTACATACTCAAACCAACTGTCATGCATCCCCTTTGAAACTTTACACTGAGAGAAATTACCCGATAAAAAATTGACAAATGGATATTTCCGATCAAAATACCGATCAGAAAATATCCGATGAGAAATATTGGTTCATAATTGTTTGATCGGTTTATCTGACGAAATGCCATTATTATCGGAAGTATCCAATTAAATTTAATCGGATATCCTTTAATCGGGTGTAGAAATTGATCAGAATTCTCTGAGTGTGGGGATCATTTTAGTTTCCTGTTCTGCAGGGACTCAAAACGTGCAGATAGCACGGCGCTACGGTTTCCTCAATGTCGTGACTAGCGACTTGCTGCGGGAGGAAGTGGCCACCGGTACTCGACAAGCCGTCACTCTGGCGCGTTTCATGTCGGAGAACCGACTGGTGCCCTCGGATATCCTGGTGGAGCTCATCAAGACGAGGATGCTGAACAGCTTAGGTATCGCGCGCGGCTTCCTGCTGACCGGATTTCCCAGAGAAAAGGGGCAGAGCAAGTACTTCGACAAGCACATCCGGCCGCCAGATCTCGTCCTGTACCTGTGCGTCAGGAACTCGGTGATGACGGACAGGATCCTAGCGAAGATCGTCACCACCACCGAGCGGCAGGATCGTAACTTTGAAGAAATCAAGAAACGCATCAAGACCTTCAGCAAGCTCAACAAACCGGTCCTCAGGCGTTACAGCGCGAAGCTGTGCGTCATCGACGGCGAGAGAGAGGAGTCGATTGTCTTCGAGGACATCTGTCGCGCGATCGACGACGTCTTGAGGAACCTCCCGAGCACATCCCCGGCGAAAGCGACCAAGTAGCGCGTGTTAGTATGCGCGACGGGTTATGTAATAATGCGTGATAGATTTTACAATCACTGTACCATCATCTTACACAAAAAAGGAAAGTTTGGTTAGATTAGCCATTTTCTGACGAAATATAAACGAATCAGAAAATTCTAGTTGGAATTATCAGAATTCTACTAGAGTTAACTAGAAATCTTGTCGACTTGGACAGAATTCTAGTGACTTCATCTGAAATTTCTGGTTCGTCCATATTTCACCAGAAAGAGTGCAGCCAAGCGTCCGCAGACATTTCGCTCCTTTTCCAAAAACTTTGAATATTCCAATTAATGATATACCGATTTAAAGCTTATGCCGAGTAGATTAAGAATACAAAGTCTCTTATTCTCTTAGTCGTTTGAAAGATAAATGCTCCGAAATGTTGCAATCTCAATAGTACAGCTGTTTGTTGAGATAAAACTTTTTTATCTTTTATCTCCCAAACGACTGCGAGAATAATATTAAAATTTCATATTTTTAATCGACTCGCGTTCTAAGCTTCAAATCGACGTATCGTTTAATGGAATATTTCAAGTTTTACAAAATCCCATGGGAAAAGGGCGAAACTTGGCCGCACTCTTTGCTTAATCCGACCAAACTTTTTTTCCGCGTATGATACGCATAACATATTGCAGATTACAAAAACATTTCACTATGCTCCGTTTTACATATAGTATTGAAATAATTAATAAACACGGGGAGTGTGAGTAATTATTTTGCTCGGTTATATTGCAATCAACATTGTCTCAAATATCGCAACACGCAAACAGAATACGAGAGGAGAGAGATAATTTCGATTTGTTGCTTTTTATATCACTTGTAATTACACGACACCCATCTACACGCATGCACGCACATACACAGATAGTTGTCAATGTCATATACACCTCTGCAAACCTGTCAGGTCCAAATTACGAAAAATGATTTACGTGTTTCGATTTATCAACGCCCGGATAACCAAAACTGTGCTGTTGCTTTAGCAGCAGAAGGTTCGCCGCGCCCGCTTGTACTCGTCATCGATAAGTTATCGTTGTGCGATACGTGCGAGAAGGCGAGGATGTTTAAAGTAATTGATGTAGTGATAAATAATATGTATTGTGTACAAATATATTATAAATGAGAGATATGTAAAAATTACGTTGCCTAAAGATTTTCCACGTAGCGTTTGTTTATATTCGTACAATTTTTCACACGACATGTAGAACTTTTACGCGTCGTGCTCTCTCGTTTTTTAATAATATTATTAAATTACAGAGATCTCTTCAATATTATACGTTTTTCTAACCTTCCAAGAAAATTAGATAAAATTTATATTCGAAGGAAACCTACGAAGACATATTTTTCTAATGACAATTTCATCGTCTTCCTCAGGTGCAGAACGCCTCGTTGTTAATTATAATTATTATACCGAAGGTCATGCAATTTTTTTATTAAGCATAACTCGCGGATATCTATAATCTTGCGTTACGTGGGTTGCTGTAGCGTCTGTGCTAAAAAGGGTTCTTTTTCTGAGAACTTATATGGTGCGCGACACACACCTCTACCACACATGCATGAAAATCACGATCATCTAAGGAACATTGCACAAAAGACACGCTAAGAAGGCACAGGCGTGTAAATTTGCGGGGTGACGCCTGAGATGTGCACGCCGATCGAAGCATTCCCTTTGAGGTATTCATCGAGGGAGGAAGAGCAACTTCCTCTCCGCTGCTCGTTCTACTTTCTACCGTGGCATTAAACGAGGCAAACGAGAGTTTGATGGATGTCTCGCAAATACTCGGTTTCTAAGAAATTGATCGCGCGGCCGTGTCCTCGGGAACTTTAATTCTCCGATAGGGATTACGCGCAGGATGTCCGATTACGTGTCCGTCGTCTCCGAGATGCCGTGAGAATCTATCAGGAATCTTAAAGCTCAAATTGTTACACTTAAATTTGAACACACGTAACCGCTATGATAAGCTCAACTTGAGACCCATGCAAGTTCTCAAATCGTTTTAATAAGTCGGAGAATAAGGACAATTTTATTTTTTATTATTTATATACAGACTCTCCTCCGTAATTTTTGTGAGAGTGTAGAACGGATCGAGGTGAACATAAAAGTCCTGTACTGTTTTGCGATTTCAATAATAGTCGAGATATTAATTAAAGAAAATCACGAATAATTACGCGCGATGTGGTGAATGAGCTGTAGCGATGATATGTGCTATTGTATGCTTGTATATTAAATCAAATTGAACAAAAGAAGCATTTATAGTTTTGCAGATAACCACGTAGATTTTTAGTTATTAATGAAAGAAAATTGTTGTATGATTGTGCGCGATAGTACACAAATTTTCTTTAATTAATATCTAAAAATCTATGTGGTCAGTTGCAAAATGATTGAGAACATTTTGTTCAGTTTGATCTAATGTGTAATTATACAATGGCAGACGGCGCCACTACAGCTTATCTACCAAATCGCGTGTGACCATTCACCAATCTTCTTTAATTAATATCTCGAGATTTGTTACGTATATCGCAAAATGGTATGGGACTTTTGTGTTTACCTTAATCCGTTCTACATTCCCACAAAAATTATGAAAGAGAGTCTGAAATATCCTGTAGAGAAGAAAATGCTCAATGTTGCCAAAATTATAGTTATTTTCGGCGCTAACCGTATTTTTTGTTGATCCAATATAAAAATAGAATATAGTAGTAGCAACATGCATATAAAGTTACTATCACTAAATTATAATAATACTTACTACAACAATATTTCTTTTAATTAGAAATCTTTCACTAGACGATTATACTTACAAATGCCAAATACTTTTTTTCCATATTGCAACGAATAAAAGAAACAAATGTAAATGAAGTGACAAGATGAAAAAACAAGAAATTAATTAAAAGTGTTGTATATTTTCTGATACTTTTAAAGCTTCTAATTGTGTTGTAAAATCAGCATTAAGATAGTGTTATCATGAAACAAGTTTCGTAAGGATTTAATGAAACACGTTTTGTGAGGATTTAATGAAACTATATATACGAACTATTATCTAACTGCTTGCAATTAGAAAAAGATTGACCATTCGAGGGCTGACATATTTGTGACTAAATTCGACACTTTATATTACGTGTGTTTATATCTTTGAAGCTAGTATAATAATTTTTATTTTTTATTTTAATATCTTTTCTTCTTTTGTGAATTTTATTAAAAATTTCCTTTTTTAATATTTTTCTCTTCTAAACTACATGTAAGATTTTGATAAAAACTATTGATATTAAAAACTTATAATATACAAACATTATATACGTTTCAAAATTATTAATCATTTTTTAAATACTGCGGTGGGAAGTTCATAATTTTTATAATATAACATTGTAAATATATATACATTTACGCATATTTAAATAATTATATATCTCTTTTCATTATCTGTATATCTCTATTAGATAAAGTGATGCATAAGTGAAACACTCATCAGGAAAATAAAGAATAATAATTTGTTTTGTATGTAATATTACATACATATAAAATATTTACCTCAATTTCATATTAATAGTGATTTTATCCAATGAAATCGCGGCACTTCAAGTTGTCAAAATCGGAAGCTACTGCTGACGTGTGTATGTGCAGTAATCGGTTGTGACAGCAGCCGAGGTAACAGTATAGAGTGTGACATTCGCGAAATTTGGAAGACAGAAAATTTACTTTAAATTTAAAAAATATACTTTGAGGAGTAATTTTTGTATATTTATTATCGAGAGTATACTGCGCATTCATGTCAGTAGTGACTTTCAATTCTGATACTTAGATAGTGAAATAAATCTAAAGTAACATACTTTTGCTTAATCCTCCGAAACGGGCAGCGCAACAGCGCTGGTAGTTTAGTTTTTCAATTATGTCAAATAGGCAGTGTTGAACAGTTTGATAGCTCCGGATCTAGATAAAGAAATGTTATTTTCATTCTTAAAAATGATTTTAACTGATTCATTCCAAATTCTAATACGGAATTAGCTCATTTGAACTCATTGCTACGTTAATTTTAAAGGTGCAGCACTGAGCGCTGCACGCGCTCACCGCGGGGTTAATAAATAGTAAATTTATAAATGGCCCCCTTGTGATGCGCTACACTGAAATTATGGCATCTAACGATACAACCGCCTTAATTGCGTCAAAGTAATATTAAAAATACCGGGAGCCCTCGGTCAGACATTTAAATATTCCACGATGACACATCTACAGAGATCCGGGGAGCAAAGCGCAAAAACTTGAGAGCACCTCGAGTTCCGAGTCACGAGTTAAATTCCGCTAGTTTCCGTGGCGTTTGCGTGGTAACACGTTGCGAGCAACATTTACCCCGTGAGAGCGCGTGGCCGCTCTCGAAAGAGCGAATGTAATTTTAAGCGCACGCGTAACGCTTTATCGTAAACACATAATTTTATATAATATAAACGTTTCCCTTTTTTACGCGCAACGTATCCGAATGATTGATCACCGTCGTCGTGCCATTCCTACCTCCGCACGCACGCACACCACCGACCCAGGCCATCGTGCTGTCGTTCCATAACGCCAAGCGCATTCCCGTGTACCAGCACGATCGCACGCGCGCGCGCGCGCACGCACCCCCGCTTCATCCCCGACTTTCCACGCGGCTTTGTACCCCGGCCTGCGACTGTCTGCGTGCTCACGCGCGCACCACCGACACACGGCGAGTAACACGCGACGTGGCTGTGTGCGTGCCTCACACCCCTGTCTCATCGTCCCGAGTCCACCCCTGCGGCGCGGGTGGATGGGTGGTTGGCTGCGTTTATGAGGCCGCGGGCCCGAAATTGAAAGGCATCTAGGTGACTGAGGGGTTGCGGGGCTTGGGGGATGGGTGTGCAGCAGTCACCGACAAGCGAAAGACCGTATCAGAGGGTAATCCTATTGGTGGACGCCGGCGTCGCGACGTCCCGGCGTTATTGGTCCGTCCACGAGTCGCGGGCGTGGCGACGTCGGTATGGAGGGGTTGCTGCAACCCTGGCAACGATTACCAGAAGGCAAGCGGGGCTCGCACGACGGCAGGAATCCAGCATGGCGGCGACCCCAGCAACCCCTAGGCGCCGCCGGGCTTCCTCACCTTCACCCGCCACCACCGTCACCGCTGCCACCACCACTACCGCCGGGTCGCCACAACGACGTCGAGCCGGCGTCGCGCGGCGTCGGCTGTTACGAAGTGCTCGCACCCACTCTCGTGGATCCCGCTCGATTTGTCCGGGAGAACACTTCAGGAGTCGAAAGTTCGATCGGCCGATTAATCGCTCCGTTAGCGGCTCCTTTTGAGCGTTGATTCTTCAACGAGGACGACGGCGACGTTGATGGCAACGAGGAAAATTCTATCCGCTGCAATTCTCTCCCTCCTTGGAGTTACCCCAGCAATTTATCCAAATTGAACGAGCAATAAATCCTACATGCTACATAGAGAGTCCAATAACTCTCTGTCAATAATCTCCGATAATCAGCTCCGAATTTCATTCATCACCGTCGTAGTCATGTCTTTAATCTACCTGTTCTTTACGTAACGCTCTTTCCCTACCAGTTATCTCTCAAATCATCGGACGCGACTTTCCGAATCAGATGACCGCAGCAGATCACACGAAGCTCTCTGGCGAACTGATCCAAGTTCAAACTGAAAAATAGAAGCAATTCCTGCCGTAAAGCTTCCCTTCAAACCTCCGCGTCTCTACTCAATCGCCTTTCAGCTGATTCTGATTAATTCGAGAGGTGTGTAAAAAGAACCGCGGACCGCTGTTTAGCGCATCGTCACTTTTTATCCGGGCGAACCGATGCCGAAGCGGCTCGGCAAAGTGAGCCTCGCCGTCGCGTAGCCAACGATCAACAATTGCACGACACGCTCAGGTAGGCGTCGTCTGCTGACGGCATCTCGCTTCGGTAGGGGTAGTTTGGTCCAGGTCGGCCGGGGTGGGAGATGCCAGGCGTCATCGTAGGGTCGGAGGGGTCGGCGCAAGCGCGTCGCCGCGACGACGGGCGTCGCGGCGAGGCGCCGCATCAAACGTGGAGGCTATAGGTTAAATCCTCCCGCTCCTCGTTTTTGTCGTTTTTCCGGCGTTGCCTCCTGATCCCGCCTTCAAAAGTGCCGACGGACCAATCGGCGCCGGGCGTTGCTCGCCCGCTACCTGCGACGGCACGGCGGCGGCAACCGCCACGACGACGGCGGCAGCGGCGGCGGCGGCGGCGGCGGCGGCGGCGGCGGCGGCGGCGGCGGTGGCGGCGGTGGCGACGACGACGACGACGACGACGCCGACGTCATCCGCAGGTAACGGCGACTCGCCGTCGAGATCCCGGATCGGGACGCCACAGACGTCATACGCCAACCCGACATCGACGACGTTCCGCCTACGCGTCGATCTCGAAGCGGAACGTCGATCCTGATAACGCGAAAGTGGAAAATCCTCTTCCTCGCGATCAGTCTCTCGCTCGCAGCTACGAGCGTCCTCCTCTCGCTCCCGCCGCGTTCAGGGTCGCGTAATCGCGTTGGTTTCCGCATCGGACGTCGCGACTTTCCCGGCTTCTTTGGGTCCACCAAAGTGCTGCTCGCCTTTCGCGTCACTCGAGCCGATCGCCGCGTTTGGCAATCGCTGGGAACCAGGTTACAGACCATAGATCAAGTCGGCACGGACGCTTGGAAGACTACTTGGTGATCGTGGACTGAGGAGGGTGGAGGTGATCGCGGCAGAAGTGACGTACGTGCCACAGTGCGGCTACGCCGGGAACTGGAGTTATCCTAGGTGAGTCACGATGACCTGCGATCGAAAGCGAGAGCGCGACGTGTATTGCTTCGCGATACGTGATCTCCGACGAGCGTGACGTCAATCTTCATTGAGAAGTAACGCAGGTCATGTTGAAGTTACGGACTGTTGTTTGGCGAGGCGGGAGAAGAGACTTCAATCTTTCCAATTGTAATAAAATTACTTTTTATTACGAAATTAACCTTTTTTATTTAACAAGTCAAATTCGACCAGAAGTTCGCATATTGGGATGCGACTGTCATTAGAATAAACATTCCAAGGCAGAAAATAAATTCGTATTTAAATGAGCGCAGTTATAATCTTTTCTCAAGTCAGTTGTATTTAATTGTTTCCAAATAAGCTGAATTAAATTACGGACCTGCTTCTTATTGGACAAGTCGGAGCGGATCTTCCGAGTTGCGAAAGACGACGCTTAAATTGTCGCGTCCGCGCGTCGCTTGTTCGGCCTGTAGATCATGCATGACTTGGACTTGCGATTAAAAGAGGCGGATAAGAAGTCTAAGAGAGTGTGTGACGGTTTCAGCACGTTTGACGTCGCTCTGATAACGAATGATCGAGGAGGCACAATGAACGGGACAGCAACGGTCACGGCCACCGAAGATCATCAGCACCAGCATCAGCAGGCGCAGAATGAAACGAATTCGGAACATCCGCGGAGCCCTACCAGCCCGCTGAGCGTCAGGCACGGTGAGTAAGTCAAACAGTGAAAAATCAAAGACCGGAGAGAAACCATCCGGACGACATACGCGTCTGGCACACGTCGGAGAAGTGTCTGAAACTTTCACACTGCTACTACTGGCCCTTTAGATTTTGTTTGGATTTTTGTGTTGCGAGTACAGAATCCAGAAGAGATCGCGATTAGGATGCGTCATGAAAGAAATCGTCGAATTTCTCATGAATTTTCACATACCTCGTTGATACCTTTACAAAAGTGAACATTCATATATCGGGCCACTCAGTTTCTTTTGACACAAGGAAGAAGTTCAGCGCGACAGTGCCGCTCGCGAACGCACGTTAGGTAGCTCCAGGTCAGACTGTCCTCTCACAGAAAGTCTCAGTGCTGATTGCGTTAAGTGAAAGCAAGCGATGCTTAAGATCTGTCGAGAGTTTTGTCGAATAATGAAGCTGCAAAAACGCGGATACGTCAGAAGTCTCGCGGAATTATACCCGTCGGAACGGAGCAACATGAAGTAAACGTAAGTAATTACCGTTTGCGTGCTCTCACGGGGACGCGGATTAGCAGCGCGGGATTAACTCCCTTACATCCGACGTCGTCTCTCGCGACATTTTTCTCTCGTGCTGTAACGTCACGCATAATATAACGCGTAATGTAATGCGTGAGCCTGCGTCGACGCGCGACTACTTTCCCCGCCCGCGACAGGTCAGCCGAGATTTGATTATTCTAATGGCATAACGTCGTTGCCTGCTACGTGCCACCCTCTTTTTCCACTTATCTCGCCCCACGTCTGTGACTCGTATAAAGGCCCGTCGCGGAGGTGGATTTGCGTGCGCCCTGGCCGTCGCGTCGCCCGTTCTTATTCAGTTCCGACGGGCGGAACGCCGAGGACAACTCTTCGTTCCTTCGAACCTTCTCGATATCCTTCGAAGAACCTGCGCTATGATGAGGTTTCCACACTCTCGCTGCCTACGATAAAGCCGGAATTGGACGTTTACGTGAAAATCACGATATTCTGCGTTCACGTGTAGACAACATATAATCTACAGAGTGTCTGATAACTCACGGAGGAGCCACGGTGTACAGATAGATTAGATCGAATTGAGCAATAAATTCCTCTACCATTTTGCGAACAACCACGTAACATTTTTGGTATTAATCAAAGAAGAATGACGCGCGTACGGTAGATGCGATGTGATAGCGACGTTTACCGCTATATACTTGTATATTAAGTCAAACTGAACAAAAAATTTCTCTACTATTCTATGAACAACCACGTAAAATTTTGAGTATTAATCAAAGAAGAACGACGCGCCATACGGTAGATGCGATGTGATAGCGACGTTTACCACTACATGCTTGTATATTAAGTCAAACTGGACCAAAAAGTTCTCTACCATTTTTCAAATGACTAAGATGCTTGGTTATTAATTAAAAAAAATTGATGCATTATCGCGCACAACTGTACACCACACTTCTTTAATTAATAACTAAACATGTACGTGGTCATTTGGAAAATGATAGAAGATTTTTTGTTCAGTTTGACCTAATATGCAAGTATACTTTTCTACTGTATAGCGCGTGATTATTCATGAATCTTCTTTGATTAATAATTTAGAATTTTACGTTGGCTGTTCGCAAAATGGTAGAGGAATCTTTCGTTCAGTTTGACTTAATTTACCTGCACACCGCAACTTTTCTGTGAGTTACTGGGCATCCTATATAGATATCGTCTAAAGAAAGCATAAGTTAATCAAAAATGCACTAAGAGAAGCCAATAAGAGCCTCCGGGAAGCTTGTTGCGGAATTTAAATTTATTTTCGGTAGAATAATTATTTTTAACAGAGAAAGAGTGTGTGTGTCAACATTTAGAAGTTGCTTATCATTTGAGTAATAAAAGAGGATAAAAGAAAATTAAGGGGTGGTAAATAATATTGAAATAAATATAGAATCGAATCTAATATAGAAAATGAACTCTCCGCATTAGTTCGAGAAATTTCCCTGAACGTGCATTTAATACTCTGTTAGAAATAATTGTATGTCTTCTCAAAAATAAATCTAAATTTTACGCGATTTTAAGATCCGCGATAATTTTTATATTGACTATGCTATACTTTAACTGATTGAATATCTGAAAACCTAACTAGAAAATATACTTCGTAATTAAAAAAAGTTCACATTTTTATTTAACTTATTTAAAGAATATTTGTGTAAGTTTGCAAACGTTGTTTCTTAAACAAGTTAGAGTCCACAGTATTCTCTGGTTACATTCTAACCTTCAGAGTTTAATCTACTAATCTGTCGCGTAACGAAATGACATTTTCAGGCAATTCTTGTTAAACGTTGCATTTATAATTGATTCGAAAATAAACATACACGGCAACTGGCTCAAGATTTAATTACTTTTTTTATAAATTTAGTATAACAATATTTTACGTAGTTTACATCGTCTGCTTGAGAAAAAACTATGTATATCACGTGGACAATACGTCCAATCCTTGAATAAAACATGAAGACGCATCAGAAAGAGATCAAGATACACCATTCTTCGCAACAAGTTTAACTGGCAATGTCTACTTCGTCAATCGGCAATTGACAAGTCACGGATATAGTTCGATCTCTCGTCGTTCTTATCGTTCTTCAACTTCGAGTCGCGAATATTATTTATCCAGTCTTTATTTGCCTTGCACGCACCGACGGATGCGCCGAATTCTGCTCGTCGATACACGCTGGCTTTCTCAGTCACCGACAATTTTTTGTTTACCGATCCGCGCGTGTTGTGACTTAAAACTTTGGCCGCGTACGGTTCGAGCTTAAAACAAGCGGAAAGTGTATGTAGCTTCTGCTGTTTTGTTCCTTCGCACTATTTTGACGGCATTGCGTCTCGCTCGCCGTCAAACCTGTACGCGTTGGCACAAATACCTACGTTCAATATTATCTTTACCAATGTTAAATATTGTTATTCCATTATTAAACATCCCCGTTTGGACCGTTTGATATTTTAACTCTAAACCTAATCAGGAAATACTTTCACCAGTATTGAGACAAGTGTAAGTCCTAATTAGTGACCAAGTAAACTCATCGTGGAAATGAATAAATTTAATTAATAACGCACGTGTTAAGTTAAGTGCACCCACACAATTAATTTTGAAAAGCTTGAACATTTCGGATTTTATTTGTTCTACTTTATGAGAAGATTTTACTTTATTTATGATACTTTCTTAAAAGTGTAACTAATATATACTATTTAATAACATGACAATTTAATTTTGTCTCAACTTGTGACATAAGGTGAATGTCCTAATTAATGACCAAGTAAACTCTCTAGTGAAAATAAAGAGGAAAATACATGAATATTTTATAAATATTAATAAAAAATAATAAGTAATCACACAAAATATATATATTATTCGAATATCACAAATCAATACAGAATCATGAATGCATTATTAACCTATTATTGATTTAAACATGACAATTTAAAGGCTAATGGTTCATATTTGTATTATTTGATCAATTTTGGAAGAGAAAGTTATGATATTAATACTATTTGTTAACTTTATAATAAGTAAGATTCACAAATCATATGTTTTTTTTAAAAAACGTTATCATTTTATGTCACATTTATTCAGATTGTTACTAATAGAGACCAATAAATCTTCTATCGATTGCGCTGACATATATAAATTAACTACGAAAATTACATATCTTATTACTTTTTCTCCGCTTAGAAAATATTCTTTATCCTTCTTTCATTCAACTCTGACATTCAATCATTTCAATTGCTTAAAGTTAAAGAATAACCACACAAATCTGACAAATAAACATGTGATATTAACTGTCAACTTCTGACATGTATCAGCGAGTATTGTCCGAACTGTCGCCGTCAGCAGTATGCTTGTAAAATTTTAGTGGTACAACATTTTTACTGTCTTTAAATATTCTCTTAAATAAATTAAAATTTGGAATATACGACAACATGTTTTTAGTATAAATACGAATCTGTATTAATTGATTTATTAAGAAAAACGAACTAATTGGAATACTGTCACTAACTGGAACGTTCACCTTATGTTATTTGACAAGTATAATAACATGACAACGCGGCTAACCCACGCAGCATGGATGGCAGGTCAAATAAAATTGGCTCGGAATAGAGCGTGTTAATTAATAATAACGCGAGGCCTGTCTACCCGGCGGTTTTTTTCTTTTTTCTCTTTCGCGCGCACACGCAGAATAAATATATAAATATATTCTTAAAAAGATAACTTTTCTAGTGAGATTTTTTGTATTCCTGACTCTTATATACACCTTCACACAAGTTCTTTCAACGCGATATCGATAACGATCATAGCGTTCGCATCGTTAACGTTCTCAAAGTATCGTTCTCAATTATAGATTTAACGCGTTTCTTTCGGAGAAAATGCAAAAGTGCAAAAAAAAGATGCCCTTTCGACGTAATACACCGTCACACACACACACACACATACACGCGATGCGCTAACAATCGGCCGAAATTAGCAACGAGGTGGCGGAGAGGCGAAGAGACAACTACTCTTTTTTTGATCTTTCCGACTAGCGCAACCCCTGGTCCCCCGTTTGCAGTGTGAGCTCCCCTCCCCCCTCACTTTTCCCGATGATCCCATAATACGAGGGCGCAGGTGGCACCTTGCCATCCGCCAGCATTGATATGCTAATGAAATTTGACGCCCCTGCTTTTGCGCGCGCTACTCTCGGCGCGGGTGGCTTATAGCGGGTGTGTATTTTGTATCGGACCGTCATTTTTCTCCTCTCGTTTAACCCCGCGCGCAGCCGACAGATTGCACCGCGACAAGATTTGATTATCCTAATGCCATAATTTGCGAGCGCGTGTGCGTGCGTGCGTGCGTGCGAGTATGCGTACGTGCATATTCTTAGACGACGTCTTCACCAATTGGAAGATTGAATATTATGGCTTCACAATTGCTTTCCAGTCGGCAAGAATGCTGTGACGTCTTGCAAACAGTTTTAA